CCCCCCCAACTCCCCAAATAGCACAGTCAACTCCAAAATACAGTTACACAAAGCTCATGAGAACTGTTTTGACACAACGAAGAACAGAAAATGTCAAACTTTGGGAGTAACATCTTTAATGGCAAAGTGACCTACAGTGGTAGTGTGACCATAAATAATACGCCAACGAAAAAAAGACAACACGAAACATGAGGCACTGAGGTCTCCGAACAATTCATACATGTATTGGTTTTAAAACAGTAAGTGTACAAGTTTAACTCCCCTTTCAGCACATTAACGGTTATTTAAGAGGCAGGACCTCCGAAGTTAACGTCTATCTCCGAAAGGACCATTCCAAATTGGTGGAGGCTTTGAAAATCCGTCAAAACTACCAAAGTTCAAAAACACTCTGTTGAGGATTCGAACCAGGGTTGTCCGCAACGAAGACCCGCATGATACCAACTAACCTAACGGAGCTCTTGCAAGACAATAAAATTAAAACAAACAAAAAGATACTCTCATTGAACTTTTAAGAAACCAAACAGATTATCCTGGCGTTTAAGGAATTTATTTCTGCACGCACAAAAAACATCAAAGTCCCGTACAATGCAAGTGCCGTAAAACAATCTAGTGATTTGGACAAGCTAAGGTGTTGTGGCGCACCCGAACAAACGCTTCATTTCTTTGCGGAACTGGGTGCTTAACTCCCAGTAGAAGAATATATTGACCGAGGAATTGATGATCTCAAACAGGTAGACAGCCACAGATATATTAACCAGCAGGTCGCTGTATCGCCCGAAGAAAGTGTACCCGGGAACCAGGTACATACACATCATGTTGACAGTGTTAGGGAAATAACACACTAGGTACGTCACGGAAATGACGGTGACCGTTTTGGCAACCTTGTCGTCCCGCCTGGCAGAAGCTTCAGAAGCCGCCTGTTTGCTAGAGGACAGCCGCCATTTTGACTGTTGTCTCATTTTGGTGACGAGAATCGCCGTGAAGATCCCGATCCCGATAGATATGACGTACTGCATCAGTACATTGTTCACCACGATGAGTGACATCTCGATGTCGTTGTCGTCTTCGTTTGGTTTAAAGATGAGGACAGTTTTGTTTCTTTCTGTGGAATATTCCCACTCAAATCTATTAAAATAATAAATCCAAGACATGGATGCAACTGTGCAGATATAAATAGCAATAACAATAGTTTTGATTTTCCCAATGGTGACGAGAGTCTTTACTTTCAAGGGTATAAGTATACATAGACATCGTTCAGCGGATATCAACAAAGTCAGACAGGCTGTGATTCGTGAGAAAACGAACCGGATAACGTCTCCAATCCCCATAGCCATGTCAAGTGGCTCAAACGTCAGATTGTCGGACTGAACCACCACGGGGAGGAAGCAGACACAGCGCCACAGAGTCCCCAACAGCCGCAGGAGATCGGAGACGGCCATGGCAAGAAGACTGATGTTGATCGTCTGTTGTCGGTCCATTCTACAGAACACGGCGATGTTGATCACGTTGGCGACACATCCTGCCAGAGTGAGGGGGACCGGAATGTAGACGTTCAGAGCGACAAGGAGATCAGATGTGTTGTCGGAAGCATCTAAGTTGCTTTGCTGGTTGCTCGAGTTGCTCGAGTTGCTAGGGTAGCTTGAGTTGCTCATTTTCGATAACAAATTCACTTGCCACAAGTCTTTTCGCAGCTCAATAAAGCTAGTGTCGGTTCCCAGCTTCTTTTTATATAGTTTTTATTTAGAATCTCATTTTCGTCAGATCGTCTCTCTCTCTCTCTCTCTCTCTCTCTCTCTCTCTCTCTCTCTCTCTCTCTCTCTCTCTCTCTCTGTGTGTGTGTGTGTGTGTGTTCAATTATCACTGATCTCCCTTGTTAACTCTCCAATCACGACAAGCATTTAAAACATATTTCTTTTTTGTTTTTTTGTCACGGAGCTTGTTAACAGTTCCTTAACGACGGCGTACAATCAGAAAAGGGTTAAATTAGGTCGAAATCTCGAACCGACTGAACGACAGTGATAAAAAATACTGATAATGACAGCGTTCGCCGATTTAATTCGCCATTTCTGTGTGAAATTGCCAATTAATTGTACATGTACATTACATCTTGAAAGAATGATAGGAAACTGCCCCCCCACCCCATCCCAATCCATAAGGTGAAAATAAAGTAAAAGATTTTTTCCGGGAGTGATACCAAGACAAACATTGATCGCCTACGACTGAACGGAATCCTGTATAATGTGTTCACAAATTCTTGTGCAAATAAACAATTACCCTGGGCTTGTGGGTTTCTTGGTGTTAGAGGAGAAAGAATTGTCTTTGTTCAAAGAAATCTGAATCGCAGATGTTTACTAACTTCGACTAACTAAAACGCGCGTCCATCTACGATCCTGTCCTTATGTCAGTGTTTTACCACCTATAAAATGGCAGCTTGCATTGTATGCTTCCTAGGAAGATGAAATTGTTTCATAATGTTATCAGGTCTTCTGGGGAGATATTCATGTAGATTGTAAAGCGCATAGAGCTTGATGTTGAGCGGGAATTTGTGCTGTACAATTGCTATCTATAATAATTACAGTGGAATCCTGTTATAACGAGAGGGTGTGGACCAGAGCAAAATGTCCGTTATAGAAGGATTCTCTCTATAAGGGATCAAGTAATAAATTCAAGGAGAACTGTAAAGTAGGCCTAATCTATGAGTTTGGTGTTCTGTTTATTTCCTTTTGCTGTCTCCCCTGATGATGATTTTGTTTCAACATGACCTCTAGGTCTTACACTTACTTGATCAAAATTCGAATCAGGTTTATTTCTCTGGCGCTAGATCTAGCGATGTGGACTGGCAGCTCGGCTTTGGTGATCAGAAAGAAAGGGCTCTGGGCTAACTTGCTCGCTGTGTTTTCCCCCACCCCACCCCACCCTGTGGTGCATTCCGTCTGCTCGCGCATGTCACACATTCGCTCCATCCATCACATTGCTGTGACCTCTCTCCATCCCCGCATCGGAGAAGTGAGAGGCATGGTAGGCCTCGATAGTCTAAAATAGGCTTACGCTGGCTTATCACGCGATGCGTTCTGCTTGTCTGCGCATGCCACACCCTCCCTACTCAGTCGTTCCGGCCTTCATTGTTGACGCACATGGGCTCTCCTATTCTTTGTTTCGCTCAATCACCAACACGTTTCTCAACTGGCGAGGTTTTGCATTATGTATAATTGGCCTATGCACTGTGCACAGCAGCAGCAATATTCCGCTATAACCGACTCGCATGTTTGTCTGATAGCGCTATAGTAGTATTTTATTTACAAAGGTAAAGAGGAGAAAAAAACCGGGTTTTTAGAACAATGTCTTTATAACAGACTTCTCGTTTTTTCCAGACTCGTTATATGTGGACTCCACTGTATCATTATTGTTATTATCTTGTGGTACACAAACAAAGTTATTCAAAGGTTGTTTTCCGGCGTACTCCGACTCAAAACACCACAGAGCATGCAGGTTCATGGAGTGCTAGAATTGTCGGACAATATTATTTTATATAGACAAGGGAGATTCAGTTGCCAAGTTGTTAATGAATTCAGACTAATATCGACGGGGTTTAGATGGGTGTGCCCATGAGCAAGACACGATAACCCTGGCGGAATAAAATATGAGCGGAATCCTGTATAATAAGTTCCCACATTCTTGTGTAAATAAACAATTACCCTGAGCTTGTGGGTTTCTTGGTGTTAGAGGAGAAAGAATTGTCTTTGTTCAAAGAAATCTGAATCGCAGATGTTTACTAACTTCGACTAACTAAAACGCACGTCCATCTACGATCCTGTCATTATGTCAGTATTTTACCACCTAAAAAATGGCAGCTTGCGTTGTATGATTCCCTGGAAGTTGAGATTGTTTCAGAATGCTATAAGACGGGGTTTAGGTGGGTGTGTTCATGAGCAAGACACGATAACCCTCGCTGAATAAAATATGATATATAAAGAAATAAGGTGTTGCACTGTGGCAACTAGCAATGGAATGTTTGTGAAATTGCTCGACATTTGTGTGATATTGTGTATTCTTTGTCTATATATATGCGCGACAAGTCATGTGTTTTTGTATGCCTATTTGGCATTGGGTGGGAGAGAGAGAGAGAGAGAGAGAGAGAGAGAGAGAGAGAGAGAGAGAGAGAGAGAGAGAGAGAGAGAGAGAGAGAGAGAGAGATGAGTATATACCCTCGGGTACACTACTTGTATAAGCGTGTGTGTGTGAGTTGTGCATCGTTCGTTGTATAATATGTCTATCATTGAACATGAATGATTGCTAGGAGTGTATTTTTGCGTTGATGCCGAATCTTTATATTATGTTTTTGTGCTGCTTTATCCTTCAAATTTTCCCTCGTTGATCAATGAAGTTTATCTTATCTTATCTTATCTTATCTTATCTTATCTTATCTATCTCATCCCACCTCATCTAATCTCGTCTCGTCTCGACTCATCTCGTCTCGTTTCGTCTTGTCTCGTCTTGTTTCGTCTCATCTCGACTCGTTTCCCCTCGCCCCGTCTCCCCTTCCCTTCCCTCGCCTCGTCTCGTGTTATCTATCTTATCCTATCTTATCTCATCTCATCTCATCTCATCAAATCTCATCTATTGCACAACCAGGACACAGTGGCCAGCAAACCGTGCTTCTACGACAAGTCTGTCGTTCAATAGGCCTAACTCATCTTAAACGACGAAAGTCGAAGACTAAGCCACCCAGTCAGTTTTTGATGTTGGTGCCTGCTTAGAGAATTCTTTGAGAGTACATGCATTTCGTCGCCGTCATTCATCATTGTCGTATGCCAAAATAATACTATGAGATTTTCAGGAAATTAAAACAACAACAAAAAACACCCCTGTGTTATTTGGGGCAGATCATTAATGTGGATACAATAAGTAGAAGTAATCTAAATCTGCCGTGTCTATAAAAAGAGAAAGGATACTAGAACATAAAATGAACAAATGTAAAAAAATACTCTTCAACGCCCGATTTATACTTGATGTAATGTTTTCAATTATGACAAAAAATAATAATATATAAAAAGAAGGACTGTAAAGAACCAAATCTCAGATTCAAATTCGCATAGCAAATAAAAAAAAACAGGCCAGGTCCTAAAATCAATTTTAGGATCTTTGTTTCTGTAATGATGTTAATTTTCTTGAAGGATTAAACCGTCAGCACCGATGGGACAAAAAGTAAAGACCTTGTTTACAAAATCGCAACTTCGCGCTCTACCGACTATTTCACCCGCCTTTTTCTTTCAGTACAGGACTTGGTTTACCGTAATTAAGAGTCTCTCCAAGAAGTAGCGGCTAAATTGTTAATACGATGAAAATCAATTTAATGTCCAATAGATTCACGCCCCCATCCCCCCCCCCCCCTTTCTTCATCCCATCGAGAGCAGGACCTCAGCGTTTAGTGCAGATTTGAAAGACTCGCGTTAACAAGAAGATCTTCATCTCACCACAAAACCTTAGTATCAAGGCTCATTTCATGCTTCGTTCCATTTTGAGAACAGCTACGCAACGATTTCACGCTTGCAGTGTGGCAGAAGAGTTCCGCGGTAACTTTCAAGTTTGATTTTGCATTGTTAACATCTTTTTCCCCCCCCATCACATGGCAAGCCAGAATCGTGTGTTTTCATTATAAGGAAAAGGTGAGAAGCAGAGTTCAACAATGTCATAGATTTATACAAAATGACAAGTGGAAAAGAATAATCTAAAATTCAATTTTTCAATTGCGTTTATTCGCTTATGTCGTTTGACGTCTCATTTTGACTAAATTGCTGGTTCTAAACACAAAACTCTTGAGTTACATATAAGAAACACTTCAGACTGCGGAGTACACAATAAACAAAAGAACACACCGTTAGTTTTTTAAAGTTTTAGTAGAGGTTTTACCGCGTTCGCTTATGTATAAGGTCATATGAGCGCCAGTATGTATGTGTGTACACCATCATATCAACTAGTATTTGTGTATGTATAAGGTCATATGAGCGCCAGAAGATTAGAGGTATTACAAGAGAGTAACAAACATAAAAAAGAAGAAGGGGAGATAAGGACGATAGATGTTTGATAGGAAAGAAGAAGCAAACCATACCAGAACACCCGCCAACCACCCACACAACTACTTCTCCCCCCCCCCCCAAAAAAAAGAATCAAACAAAAAACAAAACACCCCATCTAAATCAAAAATCCACCCAACCCAAATCAAAACTAAACAAAACAAACAAACAACAGTAATTTAAAAAAACTAACATGGTGTACATATATGACTTCTGTCTTCTTTTGTCATGCAAAGCAGTTTAAATTAGAGCTTGACGGTGCTTGTCTTGAATTACATGATGTATTTTTTTTATTTACATAGGCCCGGCCCGTGTGCAAGTTGCGCACGTTAAAGATCCCTTGGTGGTCTAAAATCGATAGGAGTAGGCTACGGCCGCCACCCGGGCAAAATTCAAAATTTCCTACAAACTGAAAAGTTTAATGTGTCCCGCGCGCTCATATGACCTTATGCAGTTGCAAGCGCCGTAAAACACTTACAAAAACAAACAAACATAGGCCGGAGACCGATTGGGCCATAGTCCGCTGACAAGAATTCTCCACGAACCCCGACCCTGAGCCAGTTGTTTTAGCTGTTTGA